ACAATGGAGAGATGTGTATTGTAAGTTAAATTGACTAGTCATGTTCGGGTCAAATGATCACTCTCACCGAGAAACTAATGAATTTAAGATATGAGCTGCTGTTCAAAGCATCTGAACCTTCTGTAGTCGTGTAGATCTTCCGTCAGCGGTTTGAATGCACGCCTGACAATTGAGAATTCGCTGTAAACACCGTATGAAATAAGTTCGTTTTCAAAGAGGCCGATTCAAAATCTTTAGAAAATCCTGTCAACAATCTTATAGTATACGATTTGATGCATCTTTATTTCCTCTTTCGAACGATGAAAACCGTGACTGTCTATCTTGTTTCTATCAACAGTTATTGAAAAAATATCCACTGAATAGGCATTACTGTAATTGTTACATATGATAGAAAAACAGATCTATTTCAATTTTTATTATTATCACATTAGTTAAATTATGATTAAATAGTATAGAAAGGTAGAACATTCTTTTTTGCTATCAGACTATATAGAGAGAAAGTTTTTTACAGTCTACTATACACTATTAAAATACTGTGATTTGAACTTTTGGTATATCCTAAAAAGATTTACAAGATTATATCAAATTATAAAAAGTAAGTTAAGGATGTCAAATAATCAAACAAAACTCATCTTGTTTTCATCAATTGCATTATCTTTATATAAATAGATAATCCAATCAAGTATCTTTCATTTAAAATTTATTGCGTTCAAATATCTTTTTTGAAAATGAGTTCGAGTTCGCTTCACTTTTGATCTCTTACTGTTTAATTCTCAAATTCTTTTTTTTTGTTTCATTCAACTTTTCATGATTTGTTTATTTATCAATAAACTATACGCATAGGTTGTTTTTTGACGCTCCTAGTCAAAAGAAATAAACATTGTGTTATGTCATTCCAGATAATTAAATGAAAACTCTTGAAATGGATTATTGTTGATGGAGATTCTAATCATTTGATGATATTAAAATCAAATTAGAACTGAAATAAGCAAGAAAGATCGAACTATTAGATTGTTTCTTTAATTCATTTTAATTGAATTATTGTGTAAGATGTAACGTTTTTATATGAAATATGAGATTTGTATTCTATGACTGATCAAAAATAATCTTGATTTTATTATGTAAGTTTTTCTATACTCAATAACAAATATTTGAATCGAAAGGCTAATTTAATTTTTTAGGATTTACAAATTTTGTCCAAATTGATGGTCAAATATAAATGTCTTTCCATAAATATTACTTATTCTGAAATTATTAAAGTCATCATTCTATTTAAAGAATCAATCAGAGTCTACGATAGTCTATCCGGATCTATAATTGTGTCTAACACTGTTAAATTGAGTGAACTTTGAAAAAATGATCGGTAGAGCAAAAAGAGAAAGAAGTATGTGTAATGTGTAGGCAAGATCAGCGGAACGAAGCAATTTTCTTCTATCCACATCCGCAATCATAGTCCTCAAAAACCTAAAGTGTTTTTCAATAGAAAGTCTTGAAGTCAGTCAGAATTATGACTCGATAGAACTTTTACATTTCTATCGGTATATTTTTCTAGAATCTAAAGATTCTTAATGTTCAAATTATGAAGAGAAATGTTAAGTCTTCGTGTCTGATTGGTTTGGAAAGTTTTTAAAGTTAAATTTTTAGAAATAGTGATTAGCTTATCCTTTGATTTAATTTCTATTCTAACTTATATTAGTAGATTTTTTTGTACAATATTAAAACTGAAAGATTCTTCAATAAGATGAAGAAACATGATGAATAACAAAAATTAATAAAATTTGTTGTGTATCATGCACAATCTATATGAAGTTTTGAATTCCTTCAAGTAGTGTCACTTTCTTATATATTTTTTCGGTAGAAAAGACTAATATTCATAGCATATATATACGAAAGACTTAGGTGTACACTATGCCAGGATATTAGCCATTTCTACTGAAAAAAAGCATATCAAAAAAAGGGGTATTATTTGAAAGAGATCAAAACTTAAGTGACACTTTTTATATAACATTATTTGAGTGACTATTTGTTTTAGTTCAGCTTTTCAAATTTCACACTAAAATTTCTCGTAATCCATTTCAATTTAAAAGATATAAAAAAGAAACTGATATTCTCCTAGGAATAAAGCACTTTTTTTTTGAGTTCTGCAGCATTGAATATTTTTACAAAATAATTTTACTTAACTAAAGACTATGCAATGGTGATCGAGCAATTTCTTAACCCTAAAAGTGTAAGTGTGGATGTCGAATGTACGTTTGTAATATTGATTTCCTATTTACTCATACTGATCGCTTGATGCTTCACATACTTTCTTGATTTGAAAGATTCATAATGATAGGACATGATAAAAATAATTGTTAACAGATAGAATCTGTTTCATCGAAAAAGTATTTATTGCAAAGTTGACGTACTTTTCTACTTTAGAAGAATAAAAGGAATGATATAAATCTAATTAATGATTAGAATAAAAATTCTAAATGTAAATGTTTTTAAAATGATACATTTTAAAAACATGCTTGTCAACTATAAAAATTTATTATGATTTCGTTTACTTGACTATTTCAAATTCTCTAAAAATATATATCACAAATTCATAACAATCATACTGTGTCAGTTCTACAATGGGACTTCTCATACGACTATATTAATAAATTTGTTTTAGACAAATTCTCAGAAGAGTAGCTTTTAATAGATTATTTGATTTTTTTTGTCCTACACGATGGTTGCAACTTCACATAGGATGGAATAATACCTTTCATTCCATTTCATGGGATACACGTCTTTTACAAAATATTTTTAAGAACAATATGAACGTTTCGAAACATATGTCGTTCTCGATTATTCGAATAAAATAGGTGAGAAATTATTTGTTAAATGCTAAAGTATTGTAATCATTAAAATTAACCAGAAACCAATGTGTAAAACAACATTATTGATACTATGTTTTTAGAATGACTTGTTGTCTCTTGCTCAGTGTCAATCTGATTAATATTTTTCAAGCAGCTTGTCAATTGTTTTATCTACTTCTATCATTTCTTTATTCCAAAGAGAAAGAAACGAGACGTCGGTGCTCCTAAAGTCTTGCTTTTCTTTCCCTGGCAATGATTCCATTCCAGGCGAAGTTCTTATGTGAATATATCATATTAAGAACACTGATTATTGAATACTTTTATTGGTATTTGAATTAATATAAATGGTTCTCTCTATGGATAAAGCTAGTATTTTATATTGGCTGCTTTTCTACTTTGTTTTCTACATGAAAATAATTCACTTGAATCATAATTAAATGAATCATTTTGCTTTAGGTCTACTCACAATATTTCTGTCTACTAATATTCTATTGTAACCATTTTGTTCGATTTAGAGATTGATTTCAAACATTAATGATAAATTTATAAAAGGGGAATTATTTTAAGGAGGTCAGTAAAATAAATAATTGATCAGTAAATTATTTAGACGGTTAGTTATTAATTAATTAGGTTTGTAAATAAATTTAAAAATCAGTAAATATAATTTATTAACAGTCGATTATATTAAAAGATCACTATAAAAATTGAAATGGATATAGAGTGAGTCAATTTTTTTTCCTTTTCTTCTTTGTCTTCAGCTATTCTAAATATGTTCTCGTTCTTTTGACCTATTCTTTTAATCTATACATTTTGTGCATAAGAGGAATCATTGTTTTAATTCTTCTTATCGTCTATTGTCTAAAACAAAGGAAAAGAAGCTTTTTTTCAATTGCTGTTAAAATTTCTTCTAATTATGTGGTTCTTTGATTGTGTTAAATTTATTTTTCATTGATAAAACTTATCTTTCTACTGATAAATTTTGTATTTTTCACTGACTAAATTTGTATTTCTTACTGATATATGCTAAAATTTTTAACTGCTACTTTATTTAATAAACTGACTATTTTACAATTAATTACTGCTAATTTCAGTACTGATCATTTCATCTATTATACTGATCACTTAGATGGTAGCCATTTATAAATCGGCATGTGATTATAAACTATGAATATTTGATTGATGTGTGCATGCGTCATAGATAATATGCGCGTAGGCAATCGAAATCAATATGTTTATTTGTTTTTCACTGTCATTCACATGACTCATTGCTTTTTTATGCTATAGTATATATAAAAAGGTGTGTTAAGAAATATTTCATTTTATAAGATAAAGAAAAATGTATGTCTATCAACTATTAAATGGATTGTTTTTATTTACTTTGATATTTAATGTTTATAAGATACAATCAAAAGAAGTACCATTTGATACAATAGTTTGTTTTAGTGATTCAAATTCGGATATTGGAAATGTTTATAAATTATCGAATTCAACATGGCCTATTGATCCACCTTATTATAAACGTCGATATTCTAATGGAAAAATTTGGATAGATAAATTAGGAATATCGAATATTATTGATTATGCATATGGAGGTGCAACTACTGATAATCATTTAGTACGAGGTTCTACAATATATAATTTAACAGTACCAGATGTTCGTCAACAAATAGCTATGTACAAAAATGCAATTCATTTAAGAAAGATTCATTATCATCGAACACTTTATACTATTTGGATTGGTCAAAATGATTATTACTTTAATTTAGCTTTAGCTTTTACTCCATCAATTGTTGTTTAAAGTTTAGTCAATGGAATCAATGATTTAATTCGAATAGGTGCGAAACATATTCTTATTATAAATCTACCACTATTTGAAGCATATCCAGCTACTGCTATTTTTAATGCAACTGCTTTATTAAAGAAACTTACACTTGATCATAATAATTTTTTATTAAATTCAGTTCAATTACTTCGAGAAAATCATTCGAAAATATCATTTGAAATATTTGATCTCTATTCACTTATATCAAATATTCTTATCAATATGACAGCATATGGAATAAATAGTACAAATAAATGTTGGGATACACCACATTATACTGTTGTTCCATTATGTTCAACTCCTAATACTTATCTATTTATTGATCAGTTTCATTTTACTACTCGTGTACATCAGTTCATTGCTGATGCCATGCGTAAATTACTTATAAAATGGAAAGCACCCTTTAAATCTCATCGTTCTATTTTTTCTGTGTGATCTTTCTTAGAACATGATATATTTAATAAAGCAATATTTCTTATTTTCTATTGCTTATAAAACTATTCGATATATTATTGATTACAATTCATAATGATAATCTTGAAAATTTAGTTTATTCAAGTTACTTCAAGAAAACTTAAAACCTCATTGTTTTTTGTCTATGGATACAAAAAATAAAAATTCTACAAATAATTTAATTCTTGGTTTGTTTATGAAAATATTTTCATAAAATCACTTTCCAATATTAATGCAAAAGAAATCATGAGTACTCATTTTATAGTATAAACTAATGAAAATGAGTATTTAGTCTAGTAAAAAGAAAATTATGTGATTTGACATAGATTAGATTTTTGTGTAAGAACCGAGTGAGAAAAATTTCAGATTTGAAGTATGGGAATTAATCAATAGGTAAATGGCTTTTTTGGTGCTATAAATAACGAGTAACACATAAAGAATAAGTCATTTTTGTAACAGTTTTTTTCTCAATGGAATCAGTGATTCAAAATTTTCAAAACATTCTCATGAAAGAACTAATAAGAACCTAAGGGAAAAGCCCCTCCCCCTCCCCCCTCCGAAACCTATCTTCTAAACGGTTCAAGAGATTTCGATGAAAATTTTACTCATGAAAATTCGGCTTTTAGCATGGAACATTTTTCCGAGGCATGGTAGCATGAAAAATGTTGAAATTTGTTTCAAAATGAAGAAAAACCTTTTATCTAGAAATTGTTGGAACAGTTTTCTGAAATTCATCTTTGCTCAATAGTAGCGATCATTTCAAACCGAAAATCGAAAAAGCTACTATGATCTCTGTCAATGAGTTTCAAATATCTGATCAACGAAGATATATTTTAGAAATCTGTTTCAACAGTTTCTAGAAAAAAGTCTCATCTTTTGAATAAAAAAAATATTAGCAGTGTACGTCAAACAGTGGACTGGAAAAATGTTCCGTAGTGGTCAGCAAACGAGAAAAAAAAATGAAGCTACGAAAAATGAATAACAATATTGCGAAGTAGTTGATGATGTTCCTGTGTCGAAAATTAGAGAATGTTATATATCATTGAAAAGCGTGTAAAAAGTTCTTGCAGTTGATGATGTTTTCAACAAAAAATTAAGCTAATCTCTAAATACAAGTTCACTGTGGCGGCACCTTTACGAAAAATAACCTAATTTTGAAGCTTCCTTCACTGACTGCAACAGTCACAACATGATGTGTTAGGGACGTAGTTATAAGGAAATAGTGTTAAGGGGATAGTTATACGAAGATAGTCGTGATGATATAGTTATAAGGCAATAGTGATAAAGATACAGGTGTAGGAGGAAAACCATTTAAGTGATGAGACACCTTATATGTGCGACTGAACCATTTTTTGGCGATCAATCAAAAATGGTTTCATCAGTTTTCTGCAGAACCTTTTTTGGTAGGAAATCAGGAATGGTTTTGTCAGTTTTCTGTGGAACCCTCTTTCAGACAGAACCTTTTCGAAGGGTTCTGTGTTGTACCCAACAGCAGAATCCACAAAAAGGTTCTGCAAAACTCCTTTTTTATTTTCAGAGTATCCTTAACTGAAACAACTGAAGGTCATCATGATAATCTCGCGTCCAATTTTGAAGTATCGAATTACTGCTGTTTCCTTAAACAGATGACTTAACATAATAACTCGAAAGTATAGTAATGCGTGAGAATAAAATATAGGAATAAAAAGCTACGCAAAAGCGAACAGAAATTATTAATAGACGGAAAAGATGAAAGAATCTCATGGCTAAAAGAAAAGAAAAACGACGTTTTAACGTGTTTAATGTTCATGAATTCATCAAAATTATTTTTTTTAGCTCTGAGATAGTTTGTTTGTCGTGTGAATCGTTCAGAGTTGTGTTACTGAACAAGTTGCATCATCCAATCATCACTGATGATCGCTCAACATATGCCTTTGATTTTGATGAACCTGTAGTGTGATAAAGAAATGCCGAGCTTTTTCTTATATTTTATTCGAAAAAATAAATTTTTGATAAACAATGCGAAATTTATCCGTTGTTTCATTTGTATGGTCTTTAAGACGATTTATCATCATCGCGTTGATACTCCTTGAATTTGCTGTTATTTTCTATAATATACGGTCCATAGATTATCGGGTCATATTTCGGAGCTCCACCTGCAGTCGGTAATGGTACAATAGGTGTTGAATAAGATGCTTCCAAAAAGAATGGAATTGAAAGACGTTCTTCTTTCAGTAACTTAACTCGATGCTTTACTGCCCTCAAACATCCATTTGTCCATCGTTCTAAACATTTACCAGTATTCACAACCAAAGCGTACGGTACGATTGGCACATCAACCCATGTTCTATTTTCTGACTGAATTTGTAGGCCACCAACTTTATGTTGATACAAAATTGTAAGTACGCATCCATCGTAGTGCTCTTCACACGACAAAGGTTCACCATCATCAGCACCTATCGATACAGGAGTTTGATTGCCTAGTTGTGGATAGTAATTGAGACGAAAGGTAGAAAGAGTTCCGGCACCACCGAATGCACGATCATCGAGAAGTTTATCAAAATGGGAAGCGTCCAAGTCAAAAGTACGTGCTACTGCACGCAATAATTCGAGTGAAATACGCCCTACAAAAAAAGATTTCCTTTGTCTCAAGAGACTTCTGTAAGTTTGAGCGATTTTTGAAATAATTACAGCGCATGTAACGCCTGACATCGCAAAACTTTTCTGTTTTCCAAAAGTTATATGCAAAATGAAAATAAATATTAAATTTATCATCAGGTTTTTAGAGTTTTCATCTTTTCAAATTTTCTATTTGTCATGATGAATGCAACTATCAAAACTTTGAACTTACACATTTCATCCCAATATTGAGTCAATACTCCATGCATTGGATATTGATTCAGTTCGTGTAATGGGTCACCTTTTTTAACAAGTTCATGTTCGGAATTCATATATGGTGAAGATAAATCTAGGCCCTCTTTTCCATTGACTGATGATGGAAAATAACCACGATACTGATTCGAATTCGATGGATTCCATTTATGCACAGCATAGCGTTGTTTTTCTTCTGATGATTGAGCAAAGAAACGTCGAGCTTCAATGACCAATTTATCAAACAGTTGTTCGTCGATTCCATGACCGATCATTTGAAAGAACCCTACCGCTTCACAAGCACGACGAATCGCTTGAGATACATCGAATTTCGTCTGTTCACTAGATGAAGACACTAATGGAGAAATGTCAATAACAGGAATAACACTCATGAATACGGCTGTGTAATATGACTGATGCAAAAGAAGAAAGATAACGACACTTTAGCTAACCTATACTGTTAGATAACGAGACAATTTGGCGGCCAAAGTCAACAAATAAATTCCTGCAATAGAACATAGAAAGGTAGTGGACGATTTTAGGCCATGTCGATCAATTTGGTCTTCGAAAACAAGCAGATTTCATTGGAACTGATCGGCAAAATGCGAGACACCCATCGTATCCGGCAACACAACACCGAAAAATCAACCAAACGTGAACACAGAATTTCGGATCGGTATTTCTTCGATTTTTTTCGGTAAATTTTGACTGTCTCCCTCCAGAAAGAACAAAAGGTTGGTTGGAAGTCACCGAAAAAATTCGGAGACTCTAGCTTCGAACACTGCGTACAAGTTCTATTAATTTGTGATATTTTGGGTATAGGTGTGAGGTGTGAGGTGTGGGTGTGGATGAGTGTGAGTGTTGATGTGTGGATGCGGAGTGTGAGTGGGTGTGTGCGCGCGTGTAGGTGTGGATGTGCATGTGAGTGATCACAAGATTGATATCCACACCCACCTTCCACACCCAGACTCACACCCACACCCTAAATTTTCAAAACAAGGAGTGATCCAGAGTAATATGTACACAATGAGAGTTAGCTGGACATCAAATGGTTCAGCAAAATCCGTTATTTTGTTTATCCTTACAGCCATAAGCACAAAGGAATTTCTTCTTCTCACAGAACAATCTTTCATCGCCTTTTGCTTTTTTCAAATTTCCCTTCATTTTTTATTTCTTTTGCAGAAAAAGTGTAGGTAAGCGGGTGGATATAGGTCTTCTTTTCATCCAGATCCACCCACAAAGTCTTCCGACATAAATTGTCTGAGATACGCTTCCCTCGTTCTGAGAAAAAAACTTGAATGCTTTTTCCTGTGTGCTTTTGATTTGGTGCAGTTTCCAAAATTTCCAACCGTTGCCGCAATAAAATTGAAACAACTAAAGCGTGTGTAGTCACTTCCAACAATATGTTGGGCTGTTTACATCTCTACCAGCAGCCTCTGTTTGATTTTAGACGATTCATTTTTATTACTCATTAGATATCATTTTAAGTTACGGAGCAGACAGAATTCTCTTTAGCACAGAGTTCTTTAGCAGTCAATAATGGAAATGGAACTATGAGGCATTCAAACGCTGCCAAGTATGAGTTCCGAACTGTCTTCTTAAGCACACGTCAACCAGTTCACTCGTACATCATGTGTTATCGAGTCCAACCAGGATTTGAACCGAACGTTCATGCCATAAGGAGATAAATTTTCTGCACTGACGTCAAGATGGATAGCGATTCTGTCTGAGACCCTGCAAATCCAAGGTCGGATTCATACAAAACTAGGCATTAAAACTCAACATTCCTACCTTGCATCTATATGGGTGATTCACAGAAATACCATGGGTGTGGATGAAAATTGAACAGAGAAAGCCACGTGTTGAACCACGTTCCGGTCGCTGCATCGAAGTAGCCAGCCTGCCGACCAATCATTGGGACAGAATCCCATTAAAACCGATCCTGGCTGACCTAAGAAAAGTAATCAAGTCTATGTCTTACTCTTCAAACTGTTCGCATACATACAGCTCATTTGAAGACTATTTTGCATAGAGATTTCCACGATGAATAGCAACGCAAAAACAGGCTTCGTGATTTTTGAAAAATTTTATTGACTATCGTTGATAATTGTGAATAGAACATATATGTAATACTTGAAACTTGAATTCAAGCATTCACGTATTCAAGTATTCAAGTATTCAACTATTCAAGTATTCAAGTATTCAAGTATTCAACTATTCAAGTATTCAAGTATTCAACTATTCAAGTATTCAAGTATTCAAGTATTCAA